AAAAAAAAAAAAAAAAGTTTATTGAGAAGAGCTGGAAATATTTATTTGGGAATCTTTTGCTGCTGACCAGCAGCCCTTATAAATTATGCAAATTGCCCCATCGGCCCATCTTCCACTCTGTCAGTGAACCTTTTCTCTCCTCTGTTCCTTTTCATTCCTCTCCTTCTTCTGTTCCTCTACTGTGTCATCATCAACAGTAAGACACCTGCAGTTTACGATTATATGTAACTTTAATCTGTCATTTTCTTTAAAAAGTCTGTGCAGTCACTTGTCACCTAGATCCAGTAAAGTTATCTTTGAAAAAAACTATTCTTTGAAAAAAATTCTCTTAACACAGAAGGTGAACGTGCACTTTTTGCTGAAAACACCTCAGAAGCTTACAGACTCCCAGGAATACTTGTCTGCATACTTCTCTCTGCAAAAAAACAATTGTTTTTGGATCAAATAAAAGCTTGAAAATACTTACCTCCTAAAATATTAATCAACAAGATAACAGGAGAGGTACCACCATACAAGCTGCTTAGAGTTTCTAGCCTAGTCAAAAGAAAAACAGATGAAGGTGCTGAGAGAATTGAATTCAATGGTATTCTGAAATAACATTAAGATGAATTCTACAAACTTTCTTCATGATCAGCCTAGCTTGGCTTTTTCTAAATACCCTCCACTAACTTAAGTAATAAGTAAGAATGTAGGATTAAGTAAGTCTTTAGTCAAAGTCAACATTGCTCTGAATTTTGCCTCCAGAGACATATTTACTTTTGCTGTTAATGAATAGCTTTGTGATATTTCTATTTAAATATTATGTATTGCCTACTTCTTCCAATTTTTATTTGTTCCTTGGAGCATCTGCAATTTAACAGTCAGACTGCTACCTACATCTTCAGTACATCAGAGTTTAAAAAAAAAGTCACTGTCATCATTGAATACCACTTAATCAATAAAACCCCATTTCCTAAACAAAAATTCATACCTGAAGCCCCTTCCAAACAGTCATGGTTGATTTTAAAATCCTACTTACCATACAATTCATGTCCTGTATGCATAGCAGGAGTCCTGTCTGTTGTTCTGTCATTTAAGAGCAATAGGCATACGCCAGATTGACAAGCAAATTATTCTTTCTAACCCTCTAAGTTCATGGAATCCCTTTGGAAAGAGCATGCTCAATAAAGGGTTTCCCTGGAGGATTAATTTTTTCTTACTTTACCCTTTTTGAATGAATTATCTCTGCAGTGTTTTTTATGCTCTGGAGTTCCTATTTATTCATCCTACCAACTTGAGGGTTATATTGTGCTTGTGTGCAAATGATACTCTCACTTCCCATTTCTCAACAGCATGTGCAAATGCTTATGTTTGCAATGGCCCTTGCACAAATAGTGCCTAAATTACATTCTGCCTCTTTTTCCTTTTTGTGCTTACTATCTTTCTGAAGGAGCAGGAATAATCTGGGGCCCTCAGTCACTAAGTTTTGTTATAGCAAACTGGAATTTTCTGTCCTCCTGTCATACCAGAAGAAGAACTCATATACAGCATGATATTGAAGAAGTGCTTGTTTGTGCCTGAAATTTTGTATATGATTCTCATCTGACTGGTTTTCCAGTCACATTAGAATCATAGAACCATAGAATTTTTGTATTGGAGAAGATCTCTAAGGTCATTGAGTACAACCATTCACCCAGCACTGCCAAGCCTACCACTAAATCGTGTCCCTTAGCAGCACACCTACATGTCTTCTACATACCTGCAGGGATGGTGACTCCAACTTCCCTGGACAGCCCAGCTGGCCTAATGAATGCTGTAGCGTTTTACCACAGTCCCCCCAAAAGAGGCTTGTTACAAAGAAGAAAAATATTGCATTTATAAGCTCATGCAAACCTTATAAATTGTTCTCTGAGTAAAACTAAAACATGGCATGGCTTTTCTACCTTCTATATCACCTGAGAAACTGAGCCCCAAGCAGAAGATTTCAGTCTGGGAGAGATCACTCAGTCTCACGGGTCCCACTCCCTGAAGTTCCAGTGTAGTGGCTCAGCTGTTTTCACAGCTGCCAGGTGGCAATGCCTCTCACAGCCTCTCTGCTCTGGGAAAACCCACCTGGTTTTGGGACCTATGTACCCTCTGGGTATGGACCCTTGAGAGCACTTTCCCCTAGGTCACCCAGGGCTGATGCTGCAACTATTGGTCTGCTCTCTTCCTCATACACTTTTGGAAAGAGAATAAATGCTACTGAAGCTCAAGCACTGCAAATACTTGGTCCTTATTTTGTGTCTACAGTTAACAGTGGACAGAGTTTACAACACTGACCCAAATGGAAAAGGAATATTGGCTTCAGCGCTCCTTCTGATCATGTCATGATTGAGGTGGACAAAAGCACGGGCGTGATTTAACCCTGACCAAACTGTAACTCTTACAAAAGCTACTAACATCAAGCTTTGCTTTAGTGCAGACCTGGCAAAATAAAGAACACCTTCGCTTCTTTTTTTCTTTTTTTTCAATAGTAAACTACTTCTCCTTGTTTCTGAACTACACAATATGCTTATTTTAGCTTGTGATGTTACTGACAGTTGTCACTGCTGTTTGTATAGCTGAGAGGCTTTGGGGGGCAAGGGTGGTGGGTTGATTTCCCAATTTCATGAACTATTTAATCTGGCAGCCAATTCAATATTTCTAGAAAGACCACAGCCTGATTTTCAGATTTGGAAAAGTGGATACAAACGTCAGATATATTACACATGGTTGTATATCACCTAAATCGTGAACCGAGTGTCTTATGTATGGATTTTGCCAGCTGTTGACTTGTTTTCACTGTTCACTATGCATTTGGTCTGAACAAGGCAGTCCCATTACTTTATGTTTACAAGCCTCTGTTTTGTAGCAGGTTGAAGTCAAGGACGTTAAAATTAAAAATAGAGTATCTTACTTTGCTTTGGACATAGTGAAGATTGCTTTAAAGAGAAGCTCATTCTGCATGTGTAAAAATGCAGATTGAATATGGTTTTACTTTGTACCTACCCAAGTTTTAATACTGCTTGTGTATTTTAAAACACAAAAGATGTAGAAGTGCAGGCCTTATGTAAAATTCATCACAAATCTTCCAAACAGGTTGGATATGACCAGTGACAAATGATGTTCCATAAAGCATTGCATGACTATTTTTAACATACCTCTCATACATAATTTCTCCTGCACTGACTGCCCAACAATATGAACATGTTGAAATACAAGCCATTATAAATGACAGGCCTTCATATCTCCACTTAATCTTTGCAGGACCCCTACTCACTTGACTTCAATATGAGAAGCAAATAAAAACAAGCAATGTGGACAACTGGAACCACCCCAGCAGCTTAGCTCCAGCATCTATTTGTATTAATCACTACTGCATACTCCTGGTGAGTGGATGCTAATTCAAAACATCCCAAATATTTCACTTGTGTCACTGTCTTCATCTTTACATTCCCTTACTAGGCAGTAATTTCCCTTTAGTTGAGATCCCAAAGGTTGTGTCCTCCCCCCACCAGTATCAGCAGTCATGGATTCTAACCCTCAGGTCTAGTATTCTCAAAATGCCTTTTTTTTTTTTAAGCCAAAAGTTCATTTCTCCATCACTTTCATAAAAGAACAACTTTCTTTTACCTCCTACCTCTCTAAAATTGTTTACTTCAGCACCCTCCTCATTTTTCATCCACTACTTCCACTTTTGTCCTTCACTGTAAGACAGATGATAAACGGCCCGTGCACCAGCACGCAGTGGCTTTCATTCCCAGTTTTGCCCACTCACTTTCTGCATCACAGGATTATCTGGGATCTGAAGAAAAGCTAGGATCCATCTCCCCCAGGCCATATTAAAGGCAGGCACATAAGCATCCATTTGCAGGCATCATGCTGCAGTGCTGGTTGCAGCCTGTTATGAATGGGAACAAGGAAGAATCAAAGTAGAACACATAGCAATGAAAAGATTAAGTACTTTTCTCCCAAAAAAGCTTCCTGACTTCAGGTTACATGTCTCTACAATGCACTGGGTGACTTTGCTGCGGCTTTGGCTATGTGTGAGGGCTAGAGAAGTTCTGCTCCTTGTGCCCTTGCTAGTCACGTTACCAGCATGTTTACCCTTCTATAAAATGGAATAGTACCACACCGGATGTTGTGAGCCTCAGGTAAATAAGACGCTTTTGAGATCCTCAAGAGGAAAGGTAAAGGATTCTGAAAGTGAAATCTTCATCAGAAAAATTTCTTTACTGAAAGGGTTAAAATCATTGGAATGAACTGTCCGGGGAAGTGGCATAGCACGTAGTGCCACGACTTGGATGACATGGTAGTGTTCAGCCAAAGGTTGGACTTGATGATTTTGGTAGTCTTCTGCAGCCTTAATGATTCCATTAGTCTAACTTGGTGTTTGCTGTGTTTTCATTTCGTACTCTGGACCTGCATTTTCTTCCAGAATCAGTCACTGTCATCCTGTGTGTAGATACTGGAAGTGCCTCTTCACCCATCCTATTTGCATTAAAGGGCAGACTAGAAAATACTGCCTCTTGCAAGCCCAAGCACTCAGCGCGAACTCCCACCCCCCACTCCCCCCCAAAATGACTCCGTGGATTCCAGCCTCCTCCCTGTGTAAACAGGGGGTACGCGCAAGGACAGGCAGGATGCTCACAGACACCGACTCTCATTCGTACTAGGAGCCAAGGATGACACCAAGCACAGCTGCCCCTCCCTCCACGGGGAACTCCTGGGGCCGCGGAGCGGGCAGCGAGCTGGGCGGGTCCGGCAGCGAGGCAGCGCTCCCGTTTTCCCCCGCTCCCGGCCACCCTCCCGCTCTCCCGGCCGGCAGCCCGGTCTCCCCAGGCCCCGCCGCCCCCAGCCTGCTCCACCACTCGCTCCCGTCCCCGGGAAGTCCCGCCCCGCTCGGGGCGGTCGCGGCTCTCCGCCAGCCGGGGCCCTGCGGGTTGCAGTGCTGCCGCCGGAGGGTCGGGGCCGCGGGGTGAGCGAGCGGGGTGTGGGGAGCGCCTGGGGAGCTGCCGTGCCACCTCCCGCGGCCCACAGCCGAGCTGGGCTCGCCCTTGGTGCCCTCGGCCCGACAAGGCGCCCGGGCCGGGAAACTTCCCCGAGTTGTGGAGCGAGAGCCGCTTTCGGTCGCTCCTCTGCCGGCCCGGGAGGGCCCGAGGCGGGAGAGCGGGCGGCGACTGACGGTGCTCGGGGCTGGGGCGGGCGGGGAGCGCGGAGCTGTGCCGGGCTCGGGCCTGCCGGTGCAGCCCCGGCGGAGCGGCGGCTGCGGGGCGAGGAGAGAGGTGGCCGGGACGGCGGCGCTGGGTCAGGCAGGGCTCCTGCGGGGGGCCCGCGGCACGTGTGGAGTGTGAGGGGACGGGCAGCTCCTCTCCGCAGAAGCGTTTTACAGCACCAGATGATAGTTACCAACAGAGTGAGCCTCGAGCTTAGGCGGCTTCACTGTGTGAGTGCAGCTACGCTGCTATTATTAGTGCTGGTATTTAATATTTGTACAGCCATAACAAGTTAAATATTGGAACTACGTCCTTTCTAGTACTCCTCTTCCGACAGTTCCCGAGGGTGTCTCTGTGAAGGAACAAATGCCTCAATCCAAAACTGGGACCTTCAGAGCCTGCCTTCAGCTGCCTCTCCATCTGGAAGCGCCAGCGGCCCTCTGCAAGATGCTTCCAGAGCTGCTTAAGCTTGTCAAGGCTCAGCAGCAAAGCTCCAGACTTGTCTGTGTGCGCTGTTGGGACACGACACTGCACCATGCATGTTCTCGGTGGCCCGAGGCTTGCTGCCCGTTCCAAGACACGGTTGCAGCAGATTCCTGCTCCCCTGGCAGCGGCTCGGGAGCTGCGGAAGGCAGGCTGAATCTGAGCGAGGGAGGTTCAGCTCCCCCCGCCAAGTGTGCTTCTGCACGGTGGCAAAGCCACTGCTGGGCAGTGGCCTTGGGTTTTGGCACCTCCTCTGCATCAGGTCTTGTGTTGTGGCTAGTTTGGTTGTAAGTTGAAGCATACGGGTCCTGTTGGTGAGGAGCTCTGAGGAGCCTAGCAAGTACTTGAATGTATATATGATCTCTAAGATACCTGTAAACATAATTCTTTTTTTTGCAGGTGTCTCTTGTAAAGGGTGGTATCTTCTGTGTGCTAGAGGCTTGTGACAGTTCTTGAATGAAACAAATTTTTAGCTGGAGGTCACTTACTTCTGGGAATTTTTGTTTTCCTTGTCTGGAATTCCCTTCTGCTTTACACTGGATAAATTATTCAACGTCCTCTGTCATAATACGTTCTGTAATGTTTAAAGGTTGTTGCCTTCTTTTTGCTGGGGGCTGTGTTTCAGTGATGGGTGAAGCAATGCTTCTAATAAGTAGTTTTGTATCATTTTGTCAGGTACTTTGGGATTGTTTTATGAAAGACTACATAAGTGTCATTTATTATTATGAATGCCTCTTATGTTTTGGAATTTAACAGATATAATATTTGCCATCCTGTCACCATCATGACATTCATTTTCATAGTTACAATCGAAGGTGGCAACAATGGCATTCAGATGCTTAATTATATTTCATGTAGGTGACCAGTGCTAACTTACTGAATTAGTGCATGGTGCAGCAGGAACAAGTGTCACAGCTTCCCTCTGTGGTTAGGAGCCATCAGCTTGCTTCTCACACATAAAAATCAGTGTATAGTGAAGCATATGGCACCAGTGAGTTCTGTGTTTATTAAAGGACTATGCCTCTGAACATTCTGTGAATTTTTTCTTTATTTCACTTGATATAGATCTAAAATGTTTTTCCCATCTTTCAGGACTTGAAATACTGAAAAAATTCATTTTTTAGTCAGATGAAACCAAGATTTCTTAAGGTTCATGAAAACAGTGAGGCTTCTGCTTGTATCCGGCTGGCCACCTGTCTGGTATGAGTGAATTAGAGATCCATCTAGACTGTGGAAACCTAAGGTACAAGTCTCTGGTATGATTCAGAGCAGTTTTGAACTCTTCGACATTTTCTGCATTTCTGGAAAATGGGATTGCCAGCTGTATTGAAGGGGAAGGGGAGTATCCCATCCCTCTAGTGCTAAGAAGAAATTACATCCTCTCAAAACTGGAAGGGTAGCTTTTCTGCTTCAATGCCATTTTTCTGGCCACAAATTAAAAAGCTTCCTCAGAATTTTCTAAGCAGTGGTCATGTCTTTGGTCTGACAGTAATATATATGTTGGTAATCCAAGAAAAAACATTTTTTTTCCTAACAATAGCTAGGATATGTTTCACAAGTACTTAACTACTCAGATAAAAAGGAAGCAAGAAGAAGGACCACCACCATCATCTCTTAGATAACAGCTTTAAGTAAATCACATTTTTTTACTTGGATCTCAGAAATGTAGAATCACTCTTCCCAAAGATACTCTGAAACCTTACTGTTGTGTAGCCAAAGCCACAGGGTTTTTCTTGAAGTAACTTCTGTGGAGGAGGTGGGATCAAAGAACAGTATGTTACCTGCTGAACTACTCCCTTTTTCTGCTCTTTTGGGATCTCATCTCTTTCCTCAAAATGTAAAAGGAGAATTGTTGTATCCCACAGTTGTCGTTACCCTTTCCAGAGTCACTACAGTGAGGATTAGTGATCAAATGAAAGGAGTGTACCTCTTTTTTTTGCGTGATTTGTGTACCTATTGGCAGATCGGTCATTTTCAGATGGGTCTGAAAATCTTCAACTGATTTTAACGCTTGAACTCTGGTGTTCTGTAAGCTTTATTGCAGGACTTTGTTCTTTGTTGTTCATTCTAGAATGGGTAGCCAGGATTTTTTTAAAAACAGATAAAATAGTTTCCAGGACAAAAATTCTGAGTTTGTATCTTCTTTCAGAAATTCTGTGATACAAAAAGGCAAAACAGTGGCAGTGTTCTGTGTCCAGTTCTGATTAAGACTGAAGATTCAGCAATACTTGCAAAAGAAATAGAAGGGTATGTAGGAGACCTTACAATTTAGTCAGCTTCTGTGTGTTGGTTGTTCCTAGCATTCCACTGTTGTACCCAGATGGGGGTAAGAACTTAAAAGCAAGAGGTCATTGACTCTGACCCCTGACAAAGCATGCGGACTGTAAAGTTCCTGAGGTAAAAGGTACTCCTTGAGCTACACCCACCAGCTTTGAGCTTTCCCTTGACTCACATTAACTTTTCTTGTGTGAGCTCATTTCTTTAGAGCAGAAGTGGACATACAGCTTCCTTGAGAAAGACATAGAGCTTCTATTGCCTGACACAGTCACAGAGAACAGTCACAGTCCAAAGGCTTTTCTCGGGGTATTTTTCCCATTAGGTCTTCAGATTGGTTGAAAATTTTGTGATACAGTTGTTTGCAGGAGTGAGACCTTGAATTTAGTTCTGTGCATCTAAGCTCATCACTCCTAGTAAAGAAGCCCCTGCTTTTTTCACTTGCTGCAGTCTGATGTTGAATGAGACTACATGCTCTTTTCCAACATGCATGGCTTTACAGAACTTAGTGGATCAGTGACTGCTGTGTTCTGTGGCAAAGTTGACGTTGGGGTTCATTCATCTGAATGTTTCTAGGTAGTAATATTCAGTCTTGATCAAGAGGTAGTAATGCATATCGCTCATCCATTGCTTAGATTTGTGTGGTGCATTTCTACATGTGAAGATCATGGAGTGGTTTGGTGTGGCTCTGTAGGACTGCACAAGTGAGTGATAATGCTCCACCCAGCGTGCTTACTAAAATGTTTAAACATGTTTCACATGTTCATGTGAAAATATGTGTATGTGATCTCAAATAGAGAGAAAACCAATGAAAGTCAATGAGAATAACAACAAAGAGTGGAGTTAAGATGTGTGCTTATTTCAGATTTGAAGTTTGGAGGGAATGAAGGCTGGATGGATATGCATTCCTGAAAAGGAGACTTTTTTCCCCTACATGTTGTCCTCACAAGAAAGAGAATATGTATTTGTACCCCAGAACCCTTGGAGAAGCAAATGTGAGTCTGTTAAGTCTTAAGAATATGAATGTATGTATCAACATGCAGGACTTAGCCCATATTTGCATATAGCATAATGTGACTTCAGTTCTGATTTTTGGCTTAAAAACACTATGTGTGCATGTAAAATATAATTAATGTAATGTTTGACCCTGGAGGAGAATTTTTATCTGACCTTTTATCAGGAGTAATTTTGGAAGCTGCCCAAAATGTAAAATCCCCTGAAGTTCTTCTAAAGAGATGTTAATGAAAAAACACTTAGGGGTATACTCGTCTCAGATCTCTCTGAGGAAGAGAAACTTCAATGTGACTTTGCTCAGAGAAGCCTAGATTTTGAGACTGTTATCTGCACAGAATTAAGGTAAAATGGAAGTCTGACTATTCTGGTCACAACAGCTAAACTTTAACCAAATTGGAAAAAAATTGTGCAAAGTTCTATATATGAGGTGACTTGGACTCTGCTTCTTGGAGCAAATCACACGTGCTTGCTTTGAGCCCCAAGGTTCGTCCACCCTGCGAGACAGGTACGAGACCCTGCCCTTGTCCTGGTGTGGCAGTTCAACTGTAAGGAAGCAATCTGATTTAGATATGCCTGGCTTAAAGCCTGCCTAGAGCCAGAGCATGACCCTCAAACCATGCAAAGCTGGAAGGTCTCTCTGCCACGAGCTGAGCCACAGAGGGATGATGCTGTAAGAATTTTCTCTTTCCTTTCAGGTGAACATTTAAAAGCTTTGCTTCTCACTTACCCAGCTCCTTATCTGAGTGTGCTTTTCGGAGGTTCTGAGGGCAGGGTGTCAATATTGGCCTTTCCTGTATGTGTACTAGTGTTTACATTTCTCTTAAAATTTAAGTGGCTGCTTTTAGATTGTAGAACATTGACAGTGCTGCTCAAGCAATGTAACTGCTGTGGAGTGTGTACCTGCATATTTTGGTGGGACTTCTCTTTATCAAAGTGGGATTATAAAAGGCTTGTCTAAAGATCTCCTAATTCTTTTTCATAGCACATACTGTAACCTTATATAAAGTCTTACTTTTAGTATTCTTTCTCACTTCTGTAGTGTAAAGGTTTTTTGATTGCTCAAACCATATATAGAAAATATAGTGAAAAGCAATATTTAGCATTTCTTTTGGCTTGACTTCTCAAGGAAATATGTTTTTGAATGGTTTGGGGACCAGAGGTAGGCCACTGAAGGCCACAACGTTAACCCACTATTCTGAATACTTCCAGAATAATGTGTTTCATGAAAAAATGTGGCAAGGTGGAGTGGATGATGCTTTTTAAATAATTCCCCCAAGAATTCTCTAGGCTTTGAATCTGTTGGCCAATTTCTACCCAGTCAAGAGCTTACACATCCAAAATGGTGAGGTTTGTGTGCATGCTGTGGGAAGATACAGCCACCCACAGGTGGGAAATGAAGGGTGGCCCACAAAGGGAGGAGCTGCAGGATGTACTGCTGTGGGGTTAGGCAGGAGTTTGT